ACAGAAGAGAAAATGGGGCAAGTTCTCTATCCTTCTGGGGTCTCACCATCACCTCTCTGCTTTGCTATCTCAAAGCCTAATGATCCATGCAACCCATTTTTAAAGGACAGTTCGAAACATTTGTTGCAGGGGTGCCTGGATGGCTCAGTCAGTTAAGTGTCTGACTCTATCTCGGCTCAGGTTATGATCCCACGATTTGTGAGTTCAAGCCCTGCATTGGGCTCTGCACTGACAGCATGTAGCCTGCTTGGAATTCTCTCTCTGCCCCTCCCCTGCTTGTGTTTGTGCTCTCCCTCTCAAAATAAATAAATAAAACTTAAAAAAATTAAAAAAAAACTTTTGTTCCCATTTTCTATTAAATGTTGAAGTTCACCTCCATTTAAAAAGTAGGCATAGGGGCGCCTGGGTGGCGCAGTCGGTTAAGCATCCGACTTCAGCCAGGTCACGATCTCGCGGTCCGTGAGTTCGAGCCCCGCGTCAGGCTCTGGGCTGATGGCTCAGAGCCTGGAGCCTGTTTCCGATTCTGTGTCTCCCTCTCCCTCTGCCCCTCCCCCGTTCATGCTCTGTCTCTCTCTGTCCCCAAAATAAATAAACGTTGAAAAAAAAAATTTAAAAAGTAGGCATAAAAGTGGGTATTGATGGGGGCTCCTGGGTGGTTTAGTCAGTTCAGTGTCCAACTCTTGATTTCGGCTCAGGTCATGATCCCAGGGTCGTGGGATCAAGTTCCAAGTCAGGCTGTGTGCTGAGCATAGAGCCCACTTAAGATTCTCTCTCTCTCTCTCTCTCTCTCTCCCTCCCTCCCTCTGCCCCACTTCCCCGTGCTCTCTCTCTCTCTCTCTCTCTTAAATAAATAAATAAATAAATAAATAAATAAATAAATAAATGTGAGTATTGATGGAAAAACTGAGATTTAATGCCAGAGGCACACTAATACCCCTCACTAGAGGAACTGAAAGTTCAAGAGGGGCAGACTGGTTGAGATGGCCACATGTCCCATGAAATCTGAGATATCACCACTCCAGTAGCTTCCTGTGTCAGTACCTACCCCTATTTCAATCCCCACAGACCTTGGCAGGAGATGATTCAGCAAGTCTTGACTTGGGCAAGCTCTTAGCCTCACATGTCATGATTATAGGGGGCCTTGACATAGACTGACTGCTTTTCCCAGGAGAAGAAAGAAACTAGAGTTTTGGTGCTCCCTCCCAACTCTTCTTCCTTCGTCTACCTCCCCTTCTCTACTATGACAATTTTTCTGGGAGCTCACATCTCAAACCCCACCCAAGGGTGCCTTCTTTAATTCACCCAGTTCTCTTCCTCTGGCCCCTCTTTACTAACAGTGACTGAAAAGTCCCCCTCTGAATTTCACAGACATAAAATGTCTTCTATACTGATGGATGGTCTTCTAAGAAAGATGAAGAGGCCAAGTATTCTGGATAAGGACCAAAGGGCTTTGTGGAAGAGCTAGAGGGCTGAAAGGAAGAAGCGAAGGGTGCCTACCACAGAGATGTGAATAGTGTCCAAGTACCTTGGGTCCTGAGTTACCTGTCTCTATCCTTCTGCCACTGAGGATTTTGGCTTACAAACTAGTGTGTATAGAGTTGTACATATTACAGTGAGGGAAAAGAAGAGAGTTGGCAATGGCTGCTTTTTGGATTTTTGCACAGGGTAGTGATATTTTCCCGACTTGTTTGTCTATTCCCCCAGCCAAATACTTAGGTATTTATTAAGTGTTACTATGTGTGTAGACCTGTGCTTGATACTGAGGTTGGCCACAAAGAAAAGGAAGGAAGCTCTTGCATTTCAAAAGATAACTTAGGGTACCTTTTAATGCTCCAAACATCTTTTAGAGTTGACACACCTCCATTCAACCCTGCGAACACTCTCCATTGGCTGGCCCGTTAGGCTACCATAAATCATGAACTCTAATACACAAAAAATAGATTTTACCAACAGCACAAAAGTGCGTCGTTTACCAGTCACCCTCAGATAATATAACTGACCAGACATGCCCTACAGTGGACCTTCCCTAAGGCCATATGCCTTGACTTCAATATCCTAATATATGCATGTACCACTAAAAAATGTCCCAGGAAGTTCAGCAGTGGATGAATTGAGTCAGAAAAACATTATAGGAGAAAAACACACACTGGGTTATGTTAAAGGATCATAAAATGTGGCTTGTCCAAAGCTAAGGAAGTAGGTGGAAAATACTTATCAGTAGCCATTCTTTTTTCTTTTTTCTTTTTTTTTTTAACATTTACTTATCTTTGAGAGACAGAGAGAGACAGAGCATGAACAGGGGAAAGGTAGAGAGAGAGAGAGAGAGAGAGAGAGGGAGGGACACAGAATCTAAGCAGGCTCCAGGCTCTAAGCTGTCAGCACAGAGCCCGATGCAGGGCTGGAACCCACAAACTGTGAGATCATGATTTGAGCCGAAGTTGGACACTTAACCGACTGAGCCACCCAGGTGCCCCTATTAGTAGCCATTCTGATATTTGTGCCCCTCTCTGTGTGTTGGGGTGGGAGTAGGATGGGGAAGGGAGGTAGGACTTTAGGGCCCATGAATTCCAGGACTGTTCTGACCACCGAGTTGCAGCAGCTGTGGCAACAACAAACAATCGGTCATTATCACAACTGTGATTTCTATCTTGCCTCTAGTTCAATGTTGAATAAAATGCCTGAAAATACTTAGAAGAGACTTTTTTCTGTGTCAAAATAAAAACAAATGGCATTCTATACATTCTTCAAGGTTGAGCTAAAATTCTCCTTGATAAAAACCTTTCAGACTAGTCCAGCTTCTGATATCTCAGCAACCAGAGATAGTAACTAAAAGTAGAATCCCTACCCCTTTATAGGAGCGAAGTACAGAAGGCACCCATCTCTTCAATTCTATCTAGCTTAAACGACTATGAGACTTATCCAAGCTTAGACTAGTGCAGTAGTCTAATTAATCTTCCAGCCTCCAGCTTCTCTCCTCCTTTGTGTCTTATGTTTAATCACCCATGGCTTGTGCTGTTCTCGGATCTTTTGCTGCAGGCTCACTCCAAATAATCAGGAACCGTCCCATGAACCAAATGAGATCTCCTTTTTCTAAAATGACTCAAGACTGGAAATACCTAACGTAGATTCAAAGCTAATTCAAATCAGTAGATTCAAAGCTTTTTCCCCCCTTGGCCAGGATAGAGAACTGGATAAACTAAACTAATAAATAATACTCTGCCAGAACTTTCACCTGTGCAAAGTTGAATCACAGACTGATGCATCTTATGAAACTGTCTCTATTGAGAATAAAAGAAAGCGAGTATCCATCCCACGTGTAGGGATGTTAAAGTTAGATCAACACTCCCAGCCTTTCCCCTCTCAGGTCACCTTTTCCAAATGAATGTGCTGTGCAGCTACCTGAACACTGAGTGTGGGACACCAGTATGCCAAGTTCATTCTTGCCAGTAAGGAAGTAAAAAGGGGAAAAGTACTTAAAAGTCCCAAATGTGAATCATTTAAAAACACAGAAACAATTATTCATTATCCATGGGTGGATTATCTGTGACAAAGTTGTCACCCCAGCTGGCTGCCTCTTACCACCTAGCATTCTTTGCAGTTGGTCTTCCTACGTCTCTGTTTGTTAGGTCTACACACTCTTCCATGGCTCCTGTAACTCCCATCTCCGTGGCCACCTGAAGAAAACAGTGCCTTCATTCATAAATACTCAATCCAGTACCCCCAACATCGTCCCTGAAAATGTCTCTCAGTGCAAAAGGAAAACTGGTGTCAGCCTCAGGGGCCACTGTGCCCTGACTTCTCTCTCCAAGGATCTTTCACTCCATATCACTGCCCTCACAGCATGGGCCTCTGAGGTTAGGGAGGGAAGGAAAAATGTTCCCTCCTTAACACTCGGGCCTGAGCACAGACACAAAACCCTTCTCTGTATTCCTCCCAGCACAGCCAAGGAAGGGCTGGGTTCTCCAAACCCTGCTCTGCTAGGGCAGGGGGACAGGAAGAGGGCGGAAAGCACCCAGAGCAGTGGACTCTGTTTTATACCTTCCGTATCTGCATGAATTGCCTTTGAAAAGGCAGTTCTGTTCTCTCAAAAGAAGTTGGAGAACCACTTTTCTGATCCATCATGCATCTGCACTTTGTTACAAATAGAAATGACAAAATGACAAAAAAAAAAAAAAAAAAGAAAGAAATGAATGAAACTTGTTTACACCTGAGATAATATTTTCAGGCCTTCAAATCTCTACCCAGAGAAAAAGACACACTCCTTCTTTAGATCTCTCTTTTGTTCCTTCTAACTTTGCTATCCGTTCCAATAATAAGCAAATTAAAAAATTAGAAATGCATTGCATGATACAGTCTAACAGAAGAGTTATATTGAGGGCACAGAGGATGGTGTGGTGGTTGACCATGTGACCTCTGGTGTCTAGTGGCCTGGGTTCATTATCCCAGCTTCAGCACCCATTAGCTTTGTGCCCTGGCCAAGTGCCTTAATCCCTCAGTTTGCCCATCTGCAAAATGGGGATGATACAGCACCCACCTTATAGGATCGATATAATTAAATGTGATATTCCATGGTAGACTTAGGACAGTATCTTCCATGTTATAAACGTTCCATAAATATTAAACAGGTAATCATATACTTATTATTAAAATGAAGCACACTTTGAGCAATTGCTTCTCAGCTCAGCTTTTCTCCTTTTCTGCAGCTCGCATTCGAAAGAAGCCTTACTAGCTTTGCAAGTTTTGCCATGAGTTGAAAAATCCCTGTGCGATAGGAACACAAGCCCATGAATCCATCCCTCCCTGCTCCACCTCTGGGCCTGTGCGCAGTCCAGACCCTCCCTGACTTCACTGGGGACATTCTACTCGGAGGCCACTTAAAATGCCAAGATCCAAACAAAGTGAAGGCACATCCGTCCTCATGCAGGCCTAGGTGTGGGTTCACCTGGGCAGGACCCACCTCCACGAGTAACCTGTCTCATCCTCTTCATTGTTTCTGACAGCTGTGTGGGAAGGAATTCAACCGGATGCACAACCTAATGGGCCACATGCACCTGCACTCCGACAGCAAACCCTTCAAGTGTCTCTACTGCCCAAGCAAATTCACCCTAAAGGGGAACCTGACACGCCACATGAAAGTCAAGCATGGAGTCATGGAGCGGGGCCTCCATTCTCAAGGTAATCACTCTTCCAGGAAGCACCCAAGGCTGCTGGGGCTGGTGGATGACAAAAAAGGGAGCTCAACTTGTTTTTAGGGGGCTTTATTGTGTGTGGGGGGGTATTCTTATTGTTGAAAAAGAGATCATAGTGTCAAGACCACAGGAGAGGAGCAGAAACAGGCTTACAGTGTTATTCTAACAAATACAGTAGTACTATCTGAAGGTAGTAAGTAAAAGTGAATTACAGAGGACAGATGAGAACATCATAACCATGCCAGTCAGTACGATTATTAGCTCTTGCTTCAGACACCACATCAGGTGCCTTGCCTCCTTTAATCTTGACAGCAACTCAAGGCTGGAGGAACTTATATTATCCCCATTTTACAGATGGGGGGAACTGAGGCTTCAAGAGAGTGATTTGCCCAAAGTTGCTCAACTGAAAAAGTGGCTGAGTCAGGATTGGAACACAGACCTTCCTGACATTAAAGCCTTTATTGTATCCATTTCATTGCACTGCTCTTAAAGGACATGTGGTTTTTTCTTTTTCTTTCCTTTCTAAAAAACAGGCATGTAAGCTCTGCCTCCACAGAAGGATGTGTGTAGCAGGCTGGGTCTCCTGTTCATAACTAGATGCACCCAGGGACGGCTTTCCTGCTTGGCAGGGCTCACTGGCCCATCTGCAGAGCAGGGGCTTCCGTCTCCCCCCCACTGAGCCCGAAGTGAACTGCTAAGCAGTTCTCGCCCCCTCAGTGCCACGGCCCTTAGCTGTGACGAGTTTATGTTCCAGATCCACTGAGTTCACCAGGTTGTTCTCTAGTTACTTAATCAAGCAGTCCTTCAATGAACAGGCAATAAATGCACCTCTATCCAAAGCAGAGCCCTAGGTGCTGCAGAAGATACTGGGGGGATGAGACCATCTTTGTTCCCTGGAAGGTCTGTGTGTGAGGAGAGAAGACACACATTTATGGACCTTACAAAATCATGTTAACCACTGTTTGGTTTACCAGTATGATTAAAGCACGGCAGTAGGCACTTCAGAAATCCTATTGCTTGTGCCCACAATGTCCCAAGGTAGACTGTGTTGTTCTCATTTTATATAAGAGGAGACCGAGGCCAAGGGGGCACGACAGGTCTGAAGGCAGAACTGGGATCCCAACTCAGGAATTTCTGAATTACACCAGTGCTCACTACACCAGGCAAACACAGATTTGTTCGTGTTGCCTGCTTCTCTTACCCTTTCCAGAGAGCTGGTCAAGCAGGCACACGTATTCATAAATAAGATGCACACATACACCTGCAGCATGAAACAGAATAATTATAGTTTTCATATTTTTCACCAACTGAGCTTATAGTGCTCCTGAGTTACAGGGAACTGTGGTTATCATAAAACAAAGCCCAGAGTTTAGGCAAAAGCCCTGAAAATATTCCGGTTAAAAAACAAAAGCAGTTTTCTTTCCCTGAGACTGGTTTTCTCCTGAATTGTTCTTTGCATCTCTAGTTGCCTGAGCCAATTTCCAACCTAGACCTGGATTTTTCCAGAATAGGTGAAGTTTGTTCAGTTGCCGGGGTTGAGGACAGAAGGCAGTGGTGAGACGTTCATCCGTTTGAAAGCTTAACCTGGTCACCACAACTTACCCCATATGGATGCTCAAATCCTAAAAGGCACCTAAGGACTCTGTCATTCTTCTGAAAAAATAAAGAGCATCACTATGTATCAGAGAGATGCTTTGAAAGTTAACAGACTTTCAACAATTTAAATGTTTTCATCTACAAAAGGTGTTAGTGCTTTTTCACTCTAGTGTTTGAAATGGCTCAAAAATCATGACTCAGATTAAAAAGAGCCTCCCGTGCCCCTGACAAGATTAAAGCTATAGACAGATTCATTGCCTGACGATATCATAAGGCAAGCAGACCTGGATGTCTGCCCCCACGCCAAAAGCCTGGTTCTGCCCGCCTCCTCCTCAGGGCCTGGCTGTTGGCTCACCAGGGGCAGAGACCTGCAAGATCAAATTAGGCAGAGCCCTACTATGTGTTTCTGGCTCCTGAAAAGTCCCTCCCAACAGGGCCCTCCAACTGAAACTAAAAGTGAGATCCTTTTGCATCACTGTGCCCAATAGCAGGGATGCTTGTGGTTGGGCACAGGGGCTTTAGAGTTCCTCAAGGGGATCTCTTTGTGCCCTCTCCAGTCTGTGCTCAGGACCACTGGTTATGGGGCGGCCTTCTTGTCCCCAAATGGTATATTTTCGTGCATTTTTTTCAAGATGAAAATACCTTTGTTATGATTTTATTTCTTCTTCTGGTAAAATATTTGCTCACTGAAAATAAGAAAGACATTAGAATTGAAGAGAAAAATGTCCGAATCATGGAATTTTTGAGATTTGGATGTAAATTCTTCCAGATATTTTGATAAAGATAGATAAAATTGGGTCTACACTATAAATATATATGGTAAATATGATTTTTACTTAAAATATATAGAGAATACCTTTTTATAACCATTTGTAGGTCTCTACATCTTCTACACATGGTTCAGTGTATTATTTATCTAAAAAACCTCCATCATTTCAGTTTCACCATAAAAATGTGGTGATGAGCATCCTTACACATATATTTTGTGCACCTGTCTGATTGTTTTCATAGTTTAAATTCTCAGTGGCATAATTGCTAAGTCAGAGCTATGTTTATTTTAAGCATTTCGTGCATGTTGCCAAATTTACCTTAAGGAAGTTACACGGATGCAAACTTCATCTGTGACAAGGCCCATCTCTCCACAGCCTTACTGGGAATTTATTTTTAAAATGTAAAATCAAACTATACTAAATGGCCTTGGGTACCACCCAGTGGCCCATTTTCACAGCTTTTCCTGGGACCTGAACATTGCTTTTGCTCTCACAGGTTTTGGAAGGGGGCGAATCGCCCTGGCGCAGACAGCAGGAGTGCTGAGGGGTCTGGAGCAGGAAGAGCCCTTTGACCTTTCCCAGAAGCGTGGAGTGAAGGGGCCGGCATTCCAGTCAGATGGGGAGAGTGCCCGGGGCAGCTCCTGCCATGAGGAAGAGGAGGAGGACAATAGCTATGAAGTGGGTGGAGACAGCCCCGGCCTGGAGCCCCAACCCAGGCAGCCCTGCACCCCCCAGGATCTCACCACCCAGCCCGAGCAGGCTCCCAGGGTGCTTGAGGACACCTATGAGGAGGAAAAGGAGGACAAGCCGAACAGAGAGCACCAGGAGAGGAGCAAGGACAGCCTGGGGGCAGAGGGCAGCCTGGAGAGAGAATCTGCCCACAAGGAAGAGTGTCTCCGTCTCAGGGCTCTGCAGAGTGCTCGGAGGGGCCCCTCCTTTTCTGATTACCTGTACTTCAAGCACAGAGATGAGAGTTTAAAGGAATTACTGGAGAGGAAAATGGAAAAACAAGCAGTGCTTTTAGGTATCTAAGTGGACAGCTCTAAAATTACATTTGGAAAATGAGAATAGGCAGTTCAAACATAGCTTTCTGCACGAGCTGTCATTTGCTGGAGACTGGCAAATGGCGCAGATCTTTACAAATGGCCTGGACTAAACGAGCAGGGATTGTCCTCACTAATACACATGCTTCTCAGGTCATTCCTTGGGCCCTTGATTTTTAACATGCATGCGGGGGCTTCTTCAGTGCTATTTCATGCTCCTCCAGTATAATAAGCTGTACATATTCTAGATACCTAATTCTAAGCAGATGCTGAGGTGCTTTTAGAAATTGTTTTCCTTTGACTAATACATAATACATGGTAGATTTCTTTTTAGTTGCAAAAATATGGTGCTTGACATGTTACCTTATTAATGATGATTTAGTTGAATGTGTGGAAGTTATAATATTTTTCCAGATAGATGAAAATATTAGTAGTTGTATATATAAAAATCACCTTTATTGAATCATCCACAATGCCAAAAATGACAAAGGAGGGTGAGGTATTGAAGAGAATATTCTCAAGTAGTTTCCGCATGTTTAAGAAAACAGGAATAATTTTAACTAATGAAAACCCGGCAGAACTTAGATCCTTGCCTGGGTCTGCCTTGTTCTGCAGCAGCTTCCGTCATCAGGTATGGCTTGTGGCGCGCATTTTCAGATGGTCCCCAAAGTGGTCAATGTGTCCCAGCTCACCCCTTGTGTCCTGAGCAGAGCCCCCCTCCTGGAGACCTTGCTCTGAGACCTCATGCCCCACAAGGCAGCTGCAGGAAGCCTTAGGCGCAGTGGGTTTCTTCTCAGTGCCAGACCAGGGATGTGGGGAGGAATTCTTGAAATCTGATCACTGCTCATTTAGAGTATTATGCTAACCATCAGGTAGTTACTGGTAAGCAGATTCTGGGCTGTGTTCTCAAAGCTGCCTGCATATCAGAATCATCTAGGGGAACCTTAAAAAATAATACCAAGGCTGAGCCTCAGCTGCTGAGAGTCTGATTTCATTGGTCTAGTGGAGCCCCAATATGGGTATTTGTTTAAAAGTTTCCCCCAGGGGATTCTTCTGTGCAGCCAGGGTTGAGAAAGATGGACGAGGTTAAAATGGTGGCTCCCAAGACTCCTCCCAGGGACTCCATAAATATTTGTTTCTGCCTTCAGATTCATTAAAATATGGAGTAGGAGACCTTGAGATCATCCTGCTGATTTAGGGCTTCTCACCTGTTCTGTAAGAGCCTCTTGACATGAACACGCACATGCACACACACAACACACACACACGTACTCTTGTATAATCACACAATTTTGTACTAGAAGATGATGCCTGTGATGTTTATGGTCACTTAATAAGTCTAAAAATACACAGCCCACCTACAGTGACTAATTATTTCTTCCTAGATGCTTGAATCGTGATTCTAGTCAGGGGTGAAGACTACCGTGGGTGGCTTGAGCCCAGCAGTAGGCTTTCCTTAGGCATGGGTGCCAAATAAAGCAGTGCCTACAGGATGTCGCATACCTGTGACTAGCCGTAAGCAGTAACCCTCTGGTACTGGGTCTGTGTTTATGTAAAAACTGCCTCTTGGTTGGTAGTCTCAACTCTTATTCGTAGAGGTAGGTACTGTTTATTACTTTGCTTTCTCTTCTCCTAAAGTTCCCAGTACATTTCTTTAGACCACCTGGCCCATCTCTGACTGCTGGATGTGGCTTTTTCTTTTGGCCAAGGTGCTTCCCCCTCAGCCGCATCTACTTCGAATCATCCACCCGTGGGCTTTGTCAATCTTGACACATTTCTCCTGCTACCTTGCTTAAAGCTCTTTCTTTCAGCCTCACCACCATGCCAAAGCTGCCTGGGTTTCCTACTGCCACCCATGCCCTGAGGTCAAGCACCTGCAAAGGGGATGGTGAGTGGAATAGTGTGGGTTTCTGTGGTGCAAGCACAGCTCTGTGCCAGGAAACTGTTCCAAGTCTTCAGAGGGGCAACTTGCCTTCCGTTCATTTTGAATATCGCTCATTAGTGCCTCTGATGACATCACTCACAAGGCTGGCAGCATGGTCTGTTGGGGTCCTGTTACATGTTCATTCTTTCAGTAGCTCTGTGTCAAAGACATACTGTAAGGGCTGCAGACTTCGGGTTCATTCTGGGTATGGAACAGGAACAGGCTGGAACAGGAACCAGGAAATCCAGAATAGCAAACTCTAGTCTTTTCCAACCAAATGAATCATGTGGGTATGTTTGAGGAACAAGTTCATGTTGAGATGGAGAGAGCATGGTCTAGAATGGAGGTTTCCAAATTGTGGATCGAGGAGTCAGAGGTCCCTCTTGGGTCCCTCCAGAGCTGCCAGGGAAGAAGGAGAGACTCTCAGCCCTCATTCCCACTTCACTCAAAGTGGTTCAAATTTCATTTGTTTTTCATGTTAGCCTTCCAAGTAAAATTTCATTTTGAGGGAGAAAAAAATATCTAAGGAAAGTAATTTAAAAAGTGTTATGAAGTATATTATAAAGCCTGTTTTTAGTTCTTAACTCTGGGTATGAGAGACTTAATTAGATCTAGCCTGAGGGTAAATATACAGTGACTCTGTGAGAAATGTGGCCAAAATCTTGGTATTGTATGTTGTTGAGTGACCAACATCCTGGTTTACCTGGAACAACCCTGGTTTATAGCTTTGTCCCAGAGTAATTACTAAGAGTGTCACTTTAACTCTCAAAAGTATCCCAGTTTGGGTGCCTGGGTGGCTCAGTTGGTTGAATGTCTGAGTCGTGGTTTTGGCTCAGGTCATGATTTTGAGGTTCATGAGACTGAGCCCTGAGTCAGGCTCCGCATTGACTGTGCAGAGCCTGCTTAGGATTCTCTCTCACTCTCTCTCTCTCTCTCTCAATAAACAAGTACACTTAAAAAATAAATAGGATCCTAAGGGTGTCTGAGTGGCTCAGTCAGTTAAGCATTGAGCTCTTGATTTTGGCTCAGGTCGTGATCTCATGGTTTGGGAGTTGGAGCCCGCATCAGGCTCTGTGCTGACAGTGCCCAGTCTCCTTGGGTTTCTGTCTCCCTCTCTCTCTGACTTTCCCCTACTTGCTCTCTAGCTCTCTCTCAAAATAAATACAAATAAAATTAAAAAAAAATATCCCAGTTTGGGTGACCAGTTATATGGACACCCCGTGCCTAAGTGCAGAGCTAAGGGAAGAGTTGGCCAAACTTGCCTGATGAGCTAATTAGCCAGAATGCACACCTGAAGGAGAGCCCATGGGGATCATCTAGAGAGAATTAAGGATAAAACCATCCAAGGTTACCAGCACTCTAAGGGCCAGGACAGCATGGCATTCATCTCCTTGTGACACTCTGAAAATAGGTCACTACCAAATGCTTTCCAGGCTTTTGACCATTGTCACTCTGAAACAGCCAACTGACCAGCCAAGAGGCATATTTTTCTTTTATCCTTTTTATTCAGGCCTATAATTACCCCCCTCTGTTTGCCTTCTAATTCCTCTTTCATTCTTTCTTTTTAAAAATTTGACTCCCTATTGGCCATGAGACTGAGGCTGACCTTCCATAACCCCACAAGGGTATCTGGTATATTTGTATATGAGTAGCTGCATGAGAAAGCCCAATGTGCATACAGTATTTATTAAGCCCTAAAGGCATTTAATAAAATATTAACATCGCGTTTTGAATCATGATCTTTGTCTGCTTTGCTGGAACAAAATGTAACAGAGCTAACATTTAAAATCCTTCACATATTTGGACAACATTACACCAAATGTTGATTTTGTACAGAATTCTGGCTTGCTATTTAAAAACTAAAACTCCAAATGTGTAGCAACCCAAGTTGTGAATATCGCTTTCTGCTTCAGTGATAAAGCAGTTTACCTGAAAATAGCATGTAACCTATGTTTTGTTAATTTAAGCAAAATAAAGACTTGTTGAAAAGGCTGAGTTGATTATTTGCAAATGCCCGAAATTTCACAAGGAAACTGCCATTGTCAGTGTCTCTCATTCCTACTCTCATACCTTCTGCCTGGGAGGTTCCGTTTGGTTGGGGCCTCAATCAAACACAGATTTTGGATTCTCCCTGTCTCAAGGCTTCACAGAGGATTAGTGAACCTCAGACTATCTGCAGGCAGGTGACATCTTCCTCATCTTCTTTTTATTTCCCATTCAGAAAAACTAGTTCTGGAAGGGTGTCATGAGGAAGTTGGAGGTTAGCGGCAAGATTGCCTTATTCTGCATCAAGCTCTTTCTAGGATAAAGTTGACCCAAGAGGCCATGTACTATACTGGGCATGAGCACCTGACACAGATTCTGGTGTCAGGTTCCTGGATTTGAAGCCCAGCTCTGCTACTTGCAATTTTTGAGACCTGTGAACCAGTTTGAGAACCTCTGTGCCTCAGTTTCCTCATCTGTAAAATGGGATTAGGAACCTTCCTGATCAAGTTGTTTGTGGGTTAAATGAGGTAGTATATGCAAGACACTTGAAAAGTGTTTGGCTCACTGTGTCTGCTATGTAAGAATTCGCCGTTGTTATCAACACAGTGGCCAGAAAACTGAACACTCAGCTCCTTCTCAACAGAGAACTCACAAAGCTGTGTCGGCATGGGAAGTTGCCGTTTCTGAGAGAGCTTCTCTCTTAAACGTTATACACTCTAAAACACCAAGCACCGTGCCAAGTAATTACACACTTGATTTTATTTAACCTCACATGACCCTGAGAGGCAAATGTTGTTATTTCCATTTTACTGAAGAAGAGATGGAGGTGCAACAGAGTGAAATAACTTCCTCCAAATGACCTAGTTAGCAAATTTCATCTGCTGCCAAAGCATGTAGCCTATACCAGGTTGGTTTCTTTGCAAGTAGATGATGAGACAAATCTGGGCGCAAGATGTTTAATAGGGATTAGCAGCAGTGAAAAGAAAGGGCAGGAAAGAAGACTGAATAAAGAGAGAAGGCAAACTGTGACCAAGCCTCACCCAACATAGCAGGCAGTTCTGGGCAAGGATTGCCCACCAAAAGTTGCACCAGGTTGGGCAGTGATGTCCAGGCCTTTTGACACCCACCTCGCTCAGTTACCAGGTATGGGCTGCCCTGGGAAGGGCATGATCTCAGGATCTCTGTAGCAGGGACAGACCCTGAAGGAGCCAGTGGCTGGAGGCTGTCTGCTGACTGCACTCCCCACAGCTCGGTACAAGTCCTTCCTTGAAGAGACAATGCTTAGCTCATCTCTGTGTCTACCACAGCCCACCCTTTGCCTCACTCCTACCCACTTCTTTGTATATATTCATGGGGCATCTCCTCCAGGATACCAGTGGGTCTCTCTTTCTCAAGGAAAACTTAGAAGAGGAAGATGAGTGGGATCAGCTTTAGCCCCCACTCCTGTAATTAGTCTAGGAGAAATAGCTCGTGCTTATTTTCTCCTTCCTCCATTACCTGTCTGCATCCCTGTCACCATCACATATCACCTCTGCCAGTCTCAGTGGCTTTTCAGGTAGTGTGACCCATATCCTCATCCCCAAAGCATCTGAGCCTCAACCACCATGTTGCTCTGTTGTTGGGTCCTCCCACCCCAGATTTACATGTTGAAGCCCTTAACCCTAGAGTGATGGTATCTGGAGGTAGGGCCTCTGGGAGGTAATTAGGTTTAGATGAAGTCATGAAGATGGAAGCCCCTCCATGATGGGCTTAGTGCACTTACAAGGAGAGGAGACCAGAGCCATGTGAGGACTTTCTGCACCATTTAAGGACACAGCAAGAAGGCAGCCATTTGCAAAACAGGAAGCAGGCCCTCATTAGACAAATAACCTGGCGGCACTTTGATCTTGAAATTCCCAACCTCCAGAACTGTGAGAAATCAATGTTACTGCTTGAGCCACTCAGTCTATGTATTTTGTTATCGCAGCCCAAGTGGACTAAGACACATGCCCTTTTCAGCAAGGGGTTGCTGCACTTGTTCTTTTAGTCACAAGTGGGAAGAGAAGTACCAAAAGAAACCGTGATGGGTTACTAGGGTTCCACACTTATTCCTCCATGACCCGTTTTGTGACAACAGCCTTCTCCCTCCTGATGATTGGGTTGATTACCTGTGTCAGAATGGTGACTCTTTTCCTTGTCTGCTGGTCCCTGAAGACAAGGAGCAAAAAATGCCCACATGGCAGCTGTAGCTTATAATTCAATGGATAATCTTGCTATGTCCCCGAGTGAAAGTGTATCCCTTTGTGAGGATGAGAATTCTAACCCTGCAGAATGCAGAGTTACAGGGATGAAAAGTAGAACAGTGGTCACTGTCAGTGCAGACAGGTGGGACCAACTCCTTTTTCTACCCTTGGAAGTATGTGTCCATTCCTACGACCAAAAGACCACTCGCTCTTCAAGATGAAAAGGATTCAATATAGTCAACTTCTCACTAAGTGATTGATTGATCTTCATGAGCGATGATGCCATATTGGAAGCTCAGCACCAGGCTCTGTTGCTGGCATGTTGGATACTCAGCAGTGACAGGAGTTAGATCAGCCTTGGCAAATGTACTTCACGCTGCTGGGCCCATGTATAGCCTCCATCTCTGTTACTGTGGCCACTTCATTCATATGTTTTTTGTTTTAGCACTGGAGTGGCTGTTGACAGAGGGCTGAAGTCAACTGGCAAAGTCATTGTCTGCCTGATTTTTAAACGTGTCTTTCGTGGTGCATGCGACCCAATGGATGTTAATATGTGATACAAAGATTTTCATACTTGTGTTCACTCCCATATGTCTATCCACCCTAGACAGAGAATAATTGGGAATACCTACTTTAATTACAGTGGTTAGGAATTGTCTGTCTGAAAAACTTATATTTAATTTGAGAACTTAAGGACATCAGGAGCCAACCATGGGGAAAAATGGGAGAAGAGCATTCCAGACAGAGAAGAGAGCATGCACAAAGGACTGTGGTATAGAGAACACGGCCAAAGAGAGAAGATGGTGCGGGCAGCACACAGCAAGAGAGGGAGAGTGATGTAGGGTGAGGTTGACATGGAAAGCCACTGGGCAATGAGGGTAAGATAATGAGATT